AAATAACTATCTCTAAAAATTAGTGCAAATGGCCAAAATTCTAAATGAAAGAGATCTCTGTGTCTATGTCTTTGCCTTTGTGTTTTTTTGTCTCTGGAGGGTTACTGTGTTAAAAATCATTTTAAATGGCGCCTATATAAATTCTAATAGAAAAGAACCCAAATTTTGAGATCGCGATCTAAAATTTTTGGTGAACAAAAACTAGTTCAAAATGTAATGGTTTAATTAAAGCACATATGTCTTAGATTTATAATGTTGGGAGTTAAAAGTTTTATTGTGTTAAATGTGTTTTAAAAAATTTGGAGTGGTCAAAAAAAAAAAGAGAAAAAAAGAAAAAATATTGACCTGGTCTATGTTAACAGAGATAAGTGTGATTTTGTTTATAGCTGGACTTCTTTTTGATAAAATTCTCATCTAAAAAGACTGGCCCACTATTTCTTTACCTTGAAAGAAATACCTTTGTTCCCCAGGTAAGCAACTTAATTGATTTTTCCTTCCCTTGTCCTAGCCAAGGAAAAAAAAAAGAAAAACCTCTGGTATATAAATTTGTTTCCTTTATAACTCTGCAATTTGAACTTCGTATCCTAAGAAAAACTAGAGCTACAGTTGGTATCTCTGTTCTTCTTATCATTATTTAAATGGTGGTATATTTTTCCTATAAAACTAAGGATTTACTAAGTTTAATAACGAAAGTTTGTTGACCGCTTGATGAGCTTTTGGTGTATTTTTGCTTCTTATAGTAGGAAAACAAAACTTTATTGTTATCATCCAGAAAAAAATAAAACATGTGTTTATGTATGAGTTATCCAGTACAAAGGAATAATAGCATAACAGCTCTAACAATGTCTTAAAGTAAAAAATGTGAGGCTTGCCTGTTAGGTGAAGTTTTGTTGGGACAAGGCCTCAGAGTGGACTAAAAGTTTCAGGGAGTGACTGATGGACTTTCTCTGGCCAGGCGCCTGACTTGTGTGGCCCAGATGACCAGATGACCTCTTGGGAGTCTCCAGCTTCTGTACTCCCTGCTTGCTTTAAAGTGCGATGAATGTGCCTCTGCTGGGGCAATGGATGCTCTATTGCCTAATTGCTGGGGGCTTGGACTTTGGAAAAAGATCTCTGGGCCTGTGGGCATAAATAAAGACAAAAGTCTTCTATAACAGTCTTACAATCTAAAAATTAAAAACTAAAATGTTGTAACTCTAAATGCAAATAAAGCGAGATTGTGTTAAGATATGTATGTAAAAAATATGCTAAAGGTCTGAAAAATTTAGTGTCAAAACAAAATAGCTATCTTGAAAAAAAAAAGGTGTTAAAGCTTTGCAGATCTGAGAGAGGTATCTTAGAAAAATGCTATGTGCTAGAATGACTTGCTTTAGGAATATTCAAATTTATTATCAGTGGTGTACTTACTTAAAACCAAAATTTAATTTCTTTTCCATCTGCAGTAAAGGCTCAAATATTCTTAAACTGCTTTTACTAGTTCTTGATGACAAATTAAAAACTGTTTAGGTAATCTGAAATCTTGGTTCTCTTTTACCCTTGGACTTGGTAAACTGAAAAATATAGTCCTGTCAGCATTGTTGAGCACTGTGAAAATATATCTACTTTTAAAAACCTCTAGTTATCACTCTGGGTACCTTAGTGTTGTTTTATAAAAATCTGTATATATTATTAAGCCTGTGAAAAACTTTTCTTGGAGTCAAATTTCAGAAATGGTAAAGTTTTTTTTTGAATCAAGTAAAATTATTTGATTCGTCTTAGGACTCTTAATAAATTATTTTCCTTATAGCAAAATGCTAAAACACATTGGACCAATCTAGAAATGTTAAAACTTCATAAAAATTGTCATTGAGGGAAAAAGTTATACCTTTTCAGCATATATAAAATTGATTAAAGTGTTCTAAAATATGTGCGATTTTTAAAATCTAGTATGTTCTGGTATAATATTATTGGATGGTTCTGATTATACTGAAATATATATGTGTATGTGTGTCACAAAATTGAGCAAACATCCTTGTCTTTTACCTTAAGCCGTGATTTTAGGTATGGTCATTTTCGAGTTTTTGTTCTTTCTAAAGTTTATTTGCTGAGCTTTGTCTTTAAAAAACTCACAAAAAGAGACTGACAATATAGATATGTTTTGGAACTGAAAAGACCTACCAAGCCTATAAAAATTTGATTTATGAAAATTACCAACAGAAGATGGAGACTTAATATATGGAAAGTACACTGAGGAAGATTTGAATAATATTTCATGACTTTTAAAAAAAAATTAGTTTTTAATGTTTTGGTTTTTTGGGTCTCCAGAAACCTTGTCTTTAAGCTGGGCTATGATCTAAACAATGACAATTTGTATCTTTTTATGAACAAACTGAAGCATTTGCTTTTCTCTTGTCTCATCCCAAAAATTTATAGGCAATATTTGTACTTCTCAGGACAATGTCTATCTTTGCATAATCTCAATAGGGAATTTTATTTATTTCTCCTTAACCTGGTAAATTAAACATGTTTTGTTAAAAGGCTTTGATTGAAATTCTTCTGGGAATAAACCGTGCTGAGCTGAGAAGAGCGAGCCAAGAAGAGCCTGTCACCTTGCTTACTGGGTTCCAGAGACCTCCATAAAAAATGAGGAAGCTGCCTCCATGGACATGGACAGGACTGAGGAAAACCCTGGAAAAAGTCCTGGGAACCTTGAGAAGAGGAATTCTCAGGTGAAGATTGGTGAGACTGTGACTTTGATAAAGCCAGCATGGACTGGATGTTAAAAAGCTCACGCTAAGGCCTGTGGAATTTTCAACAAAGCCAACAACACTCTACTTGTTTACTCTGCCCAATGAGTTTATGCAAATATAGGGAAAATTGTTAAAATTAGATTTGGTTTACTATTTTACAGAATTGGGATGAGGGTAGAGAAAAATTATGTCTCCGTAACTATATTATTCTCCGGTCCTCTCCAGTGAGGGCTATAGCCTTAATGTCATCATCTTGAGGAAGAGAAAAAGTAATCCCTCTTACATTTAGGACTACGCTGTGTTGTATATCTTGTCGCTGCCACACCAGCACCAAGACCTTAACATCATGTCGGGGACTATGGCACCAATAAGTGCAGGCCTTCCATAGTAAACCCCCCACCACGACGACCCTGTTCAGCAGGAAGCAGCCAGATGACACGACGCCCCTTTTCCCATAGAAATGGAAGGTCATAACTGAGAGTGGGGATTATGATACAGTTAACAAGTTTGTCTTTCCCCCATTTTTTGCAATTCCCCTTATCTAGCATTAATGGGATTGATGACTTGTCTTTCCCATTTGTTGCAGCTTCCCCTCCCCTTGGGAAGAAAAAAAAAAAGCTGGCGCCCACCGGTTTCCCTGTAGACCCTTCCCCCTCTTCCCCCTCACCCTAAGGAAAACAAGTTGGCCATCACCCCTCTCTGTGCCTTGACACCTTCCCCTTCCCTTAAGATGAATGAGCTGACACCCATCCATCTCCCTGTTGAGCTGGCGCCCACTTGTCTCTGTGCGGACCCCTTCCCCCTCCCCTTCGCGGACGCCTACCCATCTCCCCCTGTATAAATACCCCTGCCCGCTGCCAAAGAGCAGGACGGTGGTTTTTCGGACATGAGTCTGCCTCCCTCCTCATTTGTCGACAAATAAAACCGCTTTCCTTTTCCTCAAACTTAGTTTCCTTTTATTGGCTGAGGGAAACTGAGGCCGGCATTTGGTAACACGGGTCCCAGGGCAGCCCCATCCACTCCCCTTTTCCATTCAGCTCCCACACTTTCTGGGCAAGGAAGAGGGTTTGGGTTTTAAACTTAGCATCCAGGACACTTCACTGTCCCCCAGCCCCTAAGTTGGCAGGCTCTGCCCTGTAGCACCCCCATAAGAACCCACGGAGTCCCTGAAGGCCGGTGCCCCCTGGCGCAGGGCAGGCCCCTCCCCCCCTTTTTGCCCAGGACATAGGAAGCACAGGGAGGGTCCAGCTCCAGAAGCTGGGGTGCTGTGGGGAGTTTTGGAGGCATCAGGACAGCCACTCCCCTCTCTGGGCAGCAGAAGCCCCGGGAATGCTCACTCACTCTCCACAGAGAGACTCAGGGAGGCCTCCTGGGAGCCCAGAGGGTTCTGAGCGCGGCAGAGGAGTTTCCCACAGTCGTCCAGGTGCACCCTGGCCTGCTCCAGCTCCAGGGTCTGGGGGTGCTCCCACGCGCCTCCTACACCCATGGGGTGTCGGCTTGGAGAGGACTTCACGGTCTGGGTCCCCCATATCCAGGTTATCCTGGCGGGAGGACTGCTGTGGACCACACAGGCCAGGCGCAGGGACTGGCCCTCCTATACCCGGAGAGAGGAGCCGTGGCCCAGGGCTTCAGGTCCTGAGAGAGAGAAAGTCAAGTCCAGGCTCTCACTCAGGGTCACCCTGTGGGGTTTGATCACCCCCTCTATGGCATTGTGTTCTGCAGCCCCTGCTGACTGAAGCCAATTTTATGGTCATTATTTTGAAAAATAAGTTATAGCAGGAGAGAAATGCTAAAGAGGAGGACAGATCATAAGGAGCATGAGGGCCGAATTGGGGAGGAGGATGTAGGCCTGGAACTAGGGACAAGCACATCATCCGACAAGGGACAGAGCATAGGACACCCCAGGGAGCAGGGTCAGCACAGGGGAGCCCATGTGTGAGCTGAAGAGCCCATGGGGGTTCCCACCTCTGCTACCCCCTCCTGACAAAGACCTGTCTCCCATGTGTGTTGTCAGACCCCAGCTCTGATTTGAGGGTGGGACAGACCCCACTTCCCCACATCCCAGAAATGGAACCTCACTCCGTACCTGAACCTTCTTCCCTGATCACCTGGATGGTCAGGTTCTGGGGCGCACCTGGACAGACAGAATTGTTCTCCGTCAGCTGGCCTTCCCCCAGGAGCATGAGACATGGAGGATACAGCCAGGGGCCTCTTTCCCTCCTCCCGGCAGGATCTGCGGGGCCCAGACCCCAGACCCCGTGTCTTCCCTTCCTACATCTGCTGCCCTGGGGACCCGTCAGGCCGGGCGTCCGGGCCCCACACTCACAGCCCACGCTGAGCCGGACGGTGGTCTCTGTGCTCACGTTCACTGCGGGGAAGGTCACCCGGCAGGTGAGGCTGGAGCCGTGGTGCTCGGGCCCCGGGCTGAGGGTGAGCACCGGGGAGTCGGTGCTCGTGGCACTGAGGACGACCCCCCTCCAGGAAAAGGCAGGGGGTGTCCTCCTGCCACAGGCCCAGGGCGCTGCACAGGTGATGTTCCTGGGCCGGCCAGGCTGGAGAGGCCCCTGGAGGTGGATGTCCGGCCTGTGAGTCAGTGCTGGGGGGACAGACACAGGCTGGAGCAGGACCTGAGTGTCCCCAGGGGCAGCCTGTGACAGGCCACCCGCCTCCGCCCACCAGGGTCCTTTCCCTGCAGATCTTTGGTCCCTCACAAGATGAAGGCATGGGTCCCCTCCCAGCCTCGCCCGGGACGCTCATGTCCGTCCCGTGTGTTCCTCCTGCACCCGGCCCTTACCTGTCACAGTTACAGAAAGCTGCTGATTCATGTAACTCATTTTCACAGAACCCCCTCTCTCCACCCTGAAGTAGTAGGTCCCCGTGTCCTCTCTCCGTGCATCTCTGATGTCCAGGGAACAGCTGTAGTTCCGGGGGTCCCCCAGCAGGTGGAAGCGACCCCGGGTCTCCTTCTGCACCTCATGACTTGGGTTGTTTGTGGCCACTGGAACATGCTGTGTACCCTGAGGCCCTCCTTTGGCCCTGAATCAGTAGCCATAGGCTGGGCTGTGCTCAGTGTAACCTTCCTTGGGGTAGGAGACTTCGCAGGGCACGAGGACGCACTGGCCCTCCTGCACCGTCACCCGCTCCTGCAGGCGCAACCAGAATCTCTGATCCTGAGCCAGGGCCCCTGTGGGGAGATGAGGGTCAGTGCAGCCCCCACCCGGGCCCTCCCCTCCTCCACTCACCTGCCCACAGCAGGGGCAGCAGCAGCGGTGGCAGCATCGCGGGGAGTGGCGGATCTGGGGGCACAGGCTGAGGAAGCCCCGATGGACACAAGATGGGGCGGTCAAAATGAGCTGACCACAGGGAGGAGCTTCCCACACTGTGCGCCAGGCCAGGCCTGCGTAGACACTTCTCCTCCCAGGTCACGGAGGGCTGGTGGGGCAGGAGGACCCGCCTGCAGCTCTCAGCTCCCTGCACAGCGGGACACAGGCCCTGTAGGGGTCCCCAGGGGCCACCCCCTGGTGTGGGCAGAAGGGGGGCACCTGCAGGCGTTAGAGATGGTGGGGTGCGGAGGAGGGAGGAGGTGGTGATAAATGACCCGGCCTTGGGGGGCATCTGCTCCTTCTGTGAGCGAACTCCGGCCTCCATTTCCCTCAGCCAGTAAAAGGAAACGGACTTTGAGGAAAGGGAAGTGGTTAAATTTGTGGACAGAGGAGGAGGCAGCAGCCTCATGTCTGAGAGACAGCCGTCCTGCTCCTGGGCAGGACGCAGGGTTTTTATACAAAGGGAAAAGGGGGGATGGGCGAGGGTGTGCAAAGCGAGGGGGACGGGGTCAGCAGAGACAGGGGAGCCCCAGCTCGTTTTTTCTTCTCTCAGGAAGGGGGACGGGGTCTGCAGGAGGGACCAGCTTGCTTCACACCCTCTTCCTTGAGATGCAGGAGGCTTCTTACCTGCAGACAGCCCTGCCAGACAAGGGGAAATTGCAAGCAATGGGGAAAAGACAAATTGTTCACGCCTGTTTAACAGACGGGTTTTTTTATAACTGTGTCACTTTCAGGAGAGGGGGCGGCTCACCTCTGTGTGTGAGAAGGTCCCTGATGCCCGCCAGAGGGGCTGAGGCCTTTGCAGCTGCTGTGGCTTCAGATGGGAAGAGGTTGTCCAGGCAGCGCCCGTAGGACCCGACTGCTCTGTGAGCTCCAAGGTGGTGCCCAGAGTGGCGGGCCGGAGAGGACAGGGCCTGGATTCTACGGGGACATGGTGGTCCTGGGGCCTCCTGACCTGGGTGCTCTGCCCCAGGACCCTGGTGTGACTGGCCGTCCAGGTCTGAGACTCAGTACTCATCATCATCATCACCATCATCATCATCATCACAGCATGATAACGGGGACGCGGCTCTGGGGTCAGGAGGGCCTGGCCCTTGTCCCTGCAGGCCTCAGTGGCCTCGGCTGTCACATAGAGGATCCCAGTTCTCCCCTGGCTGGGGAGAGTCCAACATGAGGGTGGAGTGCCTTGGCGAGGGCAGGGCCCGCGGGCGGGACGCGCGAGCACACCCAGCGCCCCCTGGCCTGGGGAACAGCGCTGGCGTAGCAGAGGCCCGCGTAAAGCGTTGCATTTTTGGGGAAAATGCACGCGCACGCGCACACACCCTCTTCCAATCCCTCCGTAGTCACAGTGAGCCGGGGCTGGGGCGGCTCCCTGCGGGCATCTGTGCAGGGTAAGACCAGAAAGAGAGGCACGTCGCACACCCCCTCCCCCCAAAACCCCTGCACTCTGTGCTCCCCCCCCCCCCCCGCTGAGCCCCGCCCCCGCCAGGCCGGGTTTCCCCGCGGCTTAGGGCGCCCCCGGCCGCCCCCTCCGAGAGTTGCGGGAGGCGGCGCCCGCCTCAGGGGGCCCCTCTCATGCACGCTCTTTCACCAGCAAGTTTCAGGGACCCCTGGCTCGGGCCCTGTCACCCCGCAAACAATCTATGCCGAGACTACAGCCTCGCTCCGCGGGAGGATGAGTAGAAAAGCGTCGTGATCGTGAACGTGGAGTGACAGGGGCTGGAGTGCGGGGGACAGAGCGGCGGGGAGCCCGGCGCGCAGGCTGGACCCCAGGGCGCGCACATGGGAACCGGCCGCGGCAGGCAGACGCCGGCGGCGGGGAAGCCGGGGTCCGCGCGGCAGGAAGGCCCCGCCCCGATACCCGCGGGGTCCAGGGGGTCCTGGGCGGCTCTCCGTGGGCGCTCGTGCGCACTCTGGCGCCCCGCTGTCCCCCCCACCCCGGGCGGGCCCCGCAGGGCCACGGAGCGGGGCCGCCGAGCGGGAGGGCCGGGGCTCCTCGGCACAGGGTCTGCAGCGCCAGCAGGGCGGGCGGGAAGGCGGCGCCCCGCGGACCTTAGGGCTCCCGTCGGCGGCGCCCCTCCCCCCGACCCGCGCCGGGGTGCAGCGGGGAGGCTGCGGGGAGGCTGCGCTCTCCTGGGGGAGCGGGGCGGGGCCGGCGCCGGCGGGGCAGCCCCGGCACACGCGGCCCCTGTGGCCAGGGGAAGGCGGCGGCGTCCTCGGGAGCCTCCGGCCCCTGCCGCTGGGCGCTTCACCGTGGCCCTAACGCTGGACGCACATTAAAGAGCGCGGGGAACGGTGTGGAGGCGACCCCCCACCCCCCGCTCCCGGGCGCCCCCTCGCGGCGTGGGGCGAGGCGCTGACCCCCATCCCTCCAGCGCTCGCGCGCCCGGTCCCACAGCCCGCAACGGCGTCCTGGCCGCTGTGTCCCTCGGAGCGATCGGAGCCACAGGAGCGTCCACCCGGGATCCGCAGGCCACAGCCGGGCACGCGAGGAGGTGAGGGGCGCCGGGAGGAGGCGGCCCCAGGGCGGGGCTGGGCGCCCGGGTCTAGCTGGAGGGCCAGGCGGCGAGGGCGAGGGCGCAGCGGCCCTGGGGCGGCCCTGGGGCTCCTGCAGACCCCGCCGGGGCCCCGCGGACAGACACCAGGACCCCAGCGCATAGGTGGCCAGGGCTGCAGGCGGGGCGCGTCCGCAGAGCAGAGCCCTAGTTGAACCGCGCTCCCATCCCCCCCAAGGCCTGAGCTACAAGGCCCGGGTCCTGCACGCGGCGGGCGCGGGGTCATCAGCGCTGCCCCACCTCAGCGTCGCCAGGCCCGGACCTCGACCCCTGCGCAGCGGCAGGGACGCCTGGGTGTCGCGCGCCGGTGCGCCCCTGCCTGCCCGGACAGCCAGGCGGCCACACCACGTGGAGCACGGCCGGTGCGTGCTCCCCAGCCCAGAGGCCTGCACGGGCGGGTCCGCCCCGCTTGAGGGTGTCTGTGCACTCGGGAACCCCAGAACTTGTGGGAAAACATGAGCTGCTAACAGCCTCTCGCTCATTTCCCTCCCCTGTTCCCACCGGCTGCTGAAGTGGTTGCGAGTCACCAGCCCGCAGAGGGTCTTCTGCTCTGACCACAGTGAGGCTGAAGCAGTGCGGAGTTCCTGTTTCTGGAACTTTCTGTCTTTATGGAAGTGTCCCAACATCTAAGCAAATTTGTTGGTCATTGTGAAATTTATCATAGAAAAAAGGAGGGCGGGAGAAGAGTCCTCTCTGGCTGACTCTATGAAGTAAGACATGATGCGAATGAGTTGGGGCCACTGGGCATTCACGTCCTGCCCTCCCCACCCCACCCAGACCTGGGGCCTGGGCTCCCTAAAATGCCTCATCATCCAAGCCTTCACCCTGCCTGGGTAGTGGCCCCTCTGCGAGGCTGAGCGCCACCTCTCTCTGCGCTGGGAAACTGAGGCGCAGCCAGGCAGGGCCTGGGGTGTCAGGGGCTGGCTGTTACTCAGCAAAGGCCCAGAGTGTGGGCTGACTCCACCCTGGGCGGTCGCGAAGCCGTGTCCCGCGTCCTCGCAGCTCAGCATCCGGGCACTGGGGGCTCCACAAGAACCTGACGGCGCTTGGGCTTCTCTGCCCCACAGGGATGGGGTCCCTCTGGGCTGGGCCGGGTCTCTGCAGCTTCACTTGCGCACTCTGATCTCTGAGTACTCACAGTCGCTGGTCTTCTGACCTGGGGGTCCCGAGGCTTCACTCCAGAGAAGCTGATGGTCTCGTAGTGAACCTCAAGTTCCTGCCTTGAGGAGGGGGCGGCCACCGGGGGAGGATTTTCAGCAAGGGCGTCCAGCCTGGACCTCATCGGGACACCCTGTGGGAGGGACCAAGGAGGAATCATGGAGGGGCAGTGGGGGCTGGTAAGGCAGAGACGCCCCACCCACCACCCCACGTGTCCACGGATCTCCCCAGCCCCACCTCCTGCAATAGGCTGTGCCCCGAGAGTGAGCCTCCCCACCAAAGTGAGCGCCCCACGGGCCCTTGCTGATATATCACCCCCACAACCACTCACCAGGAGGTGACCAATCATTAAAAATGGTGACGAGGGGTGGACTTCAACCACGCAGACAGCAAGTAACCGAAATTCCCCAATCACCTTGTAGCTGTCTACTCCCTGTGCCCCGAGTTTCCCCCAAAGCACGTGTCTTTCATCTGTACATTTTTTGGTTTCTCAAACCTTATGTTATTGCTAACTTCGCTGAGTGCTGGTACTTTCTATGCTATTTTCCATATTGCTCACTTGTGTGCTGTTTGTCTGCTGGCTTTGCCTTTTATCCCTCTGCTAGAATAAACTCCAAGGAGCCCCATGATTAAAAAATTGTCATGGCTCCCCAGCTGGGCAGGGGCTCGGTGACACCTCAGAAGGATTGAATGAATGAATGAATGAATGAATGAATGAATGAATGAATAAGTGAGTGAGTGATGCAGGTTACTCTGCTGCTGAAAACCAAGCACTGGA